TCATTTTCATCGGTCATCTTTTAGTTTTGTATAATATATCATACTGTACTCGTGCAACTCTGATTATTACTAACTATATTAATAATTATGTTTAATGTTGTATATTAGGTATATACAAGCTTAAAAAAAGATGCGAATTATACCTATTATTAATAAATAGGTAGGTACCTATTAAGTATAATTGATAGTCCAACAATATTTCACAAGAACAGGTAGGTATCCACCGTGGCACTATATGTAGTAATGTGTGGTAACTGGTAATGTCACTAGGTCACATCTTCCCATTTTTGTATTAAAGTAGTAGGTACCAATAATGTATTATGCAATTTTATTATACCCGTACCTATCTTTAGACGTTGTAATTGAACGCTTATAGACTTAATAAGACGGAGTATTTGAAAAGATAAACCATCAATTTACGCGTCATGTATCTGTGATGAATATTGATTGTAAATTATATAACGCACCATGCACGTCCAAAATAAGTAATAAAATATGTGAATTTTAATTTGAATACAATTATTATTCAATTTTTAGAATGTTTCAATTTATTTGATTAAAATTATATCGTTATATAATATAACATAGTTATTCACGAAAATAATCTGTAATCAACAAAACTAAAATATCATTATTTTGTAGGTATAGGATAGGCATCTGATTACGTATTAGGTACCTATATAGGTAATATAATATGCTACCTACTTCAGTAGTTATTTATAACGACTACCATTGAATTGGCTCCCAATTTCGGGTAAATATTTGTTTGACCCTTGAATTGGCTCCTTAAACTGTAAAATATTATTATTTAACCAGGGGTTCTTATATTATACGCGTTTAGTCTTACGACGTCAAACCTAACCAAGCCTAATTATAAATATTTATTGAATTTAGTCTTATCGTCTTAATCGTTGTTATCTAGGTACTACAGTAGCCGATTAGGTGTATCATTGATTTCTACACACTACTTTTATTTTGTAGTTAAGTTTCGTTTTACGATGTCAACCTAACCTAGCCTGGCGGTTTGTACTCAAATATAGTCAAGCGATGGCTATACCTAAAACCTACTATTATGTATATAAATATTCATTGAATTTCGTTTAATCGTATCGTCTTATATATAATCTTCTACAGAAGTTTGATGACCACGACAGCAATGTAGATATTACTTTATTAGTAGATACGCAATGTTAGCGCGAGTGCTTAAAAATGAATTCTGTTCAAATTCGAAAATTTGACACTGGTATAAATACAAGGTATCAATACATAAAAATATTAGCCAATAAGTATAGACCACGGCAAATAGTTCAATACAATATTTTTATTTAATTTGGCATTTACGTTTTATAATGACACCACCAGGTATAATATTGTCTGTGTTTTAATTTTTTAATTTATGTTTAGCTTTTATTTTTTTCCACTTTTGTGAGATCTTTGTAATATATTTACTAAATAATTTTGTGTAAAAAAAGTAGATATTCACATCGTAATGTATCAACTCTCAGTGTAACAATGTAAAATATACGAATGTGGTACTATTATAAACCATGTGTTAAAGTTAAGAATCATACTGCAGACGTCAATTACTCTAGGAACTAACGTCTAACTTGAAATTATTGACACTATTTTGGTAATATATTTTTTTTAAAAACGAAGGAAGCCAATTCAATAGTAAATTCTTAGGAGCCAATTCAAAGATACTTGTAAGGGTAAATATTGATTACCTGTATTTTTGGGAGCCAATTCAATTGTGCCGATTTATAACAACCGTTTAAATAGGTAGGTCGGTAGGTACTTAAAGTGTATTTTAATGTATAATTTTCAATAGAAATCAACAAATTAAATACCCGAGATTTCGCTCAGCTTCATATTAAGTGTTTACAGTGGAGCTCGCATCAATGGTCATTAAGTAATTATCACTCTAATGGATGTTTTAAATTTGTAATTCGATGGTTATAAATCATTGAATACAAAAAACGCTTATGAGCGGAGACGGTTTGTCAACCTATATTTCTAAGGATATATACATTTATAATATTGCAATTAGTGATTTATTTATTTTCTATAATATCACTTCTATTATAGCTATTGATTTCAAAGCCAATAGTCAATACAGACTTATACAGTAGAACGGACGTGTTGGACCTATTGTTATTGTGATGCGACAAGAGAGTATTTTCTTGCAGATTATTACCGGTAGGTAATTTTTTTTTCTTTTTAGGGTCAATAGTGTCACTATTGGTAATTAACTATACATTTTTATTTTTTATATAATTTTATTAAAAAGACATTGCACAATTAAACAAGAAGTTATATTTTAATTTTTTAATTTTTGTTTGGTTTACTATGAGATTGAGCTGGAAATATTTTCGATATCGATTTTTATCGCACTTTTTGTTGGATTCAGTTTAAGTTACTAATTTATAAACCAGGTGGTTACTGTGTTTAGAGTTAATTGGAGATTTTGAATTGAAGGTTACAAGTCGTTTTTTTGGGTTATTATTGTTGTATCGTCAGTAAGCATCGCTATTAGAGAGTTCTGAGCTTATGAATTTGGGATATCCACTAACCTACCTATTTGAGGGACTTTGACTTGCATTTTTTGAAGTTAGGAGAAATTGGTTTCTATTCAGACTTGGTACGTTTGATCTGATATAAAGGAAAATATGGTTTTAGGTATCCAGGTATTTGTGGAAAAGTAGTGAATTCAATTTAAGTTTTAGTCCACGGTCACCATACCTTGTCGAAGGCCTTGAGTTAGGTAAAGGAAGATCGGGAATCTTAAATCAGTATAAAATGGCTTAAAATGTATCTACAACATTTGAAAAAGTCATTGTGTGTACAAAATTATAACTTACCTATAGTACCTAATAGTATAGACTATTTCCATTTTCTATGATTAAAATTCTAAAAAACTATCAACATAAAAATAACAATAATTATTTTTGGAGTAATCATTATTTTACGCGTGAATATTCAATATCGTCTAGTTTTAAAATTCAACCACTCATAAAAAATGTATGTGGCTCTACGCTAAACTTTTATTTTTAATTCCAGTAAAAAACTTGTTATGAATCTTTATTAAATTTTCAAGCCCTCAGGTGTTAAAATTAAAAGTTTTTATAAAGTTTTATTACAGCATAATTTACATATTAACTTGATTTTGACAAATTATATTTAAATGTTTATTAAAAAAATACTTTTAATTGCTGTAAAAACCACATATGAGGAACCTTGTATTTCGTGTTCAAAATATTTTAATTTTAAACGAAAATGTTATTTTATTACCTAATAGTATAAGTAATACATATTTTATATAAATTGAAAAAAATATAAATTATATAATGTCTCTAAATAGTTTAAAATATTATATATTGAAAATGCTAATATAAATATTTGGTAAAAATTAAAATATATTTTTGGTTGTTCGTTTTTGAATGAGAATAAAATAACGAAATAGATTTTAACTTGAATTGGTGCTACGGTAAATACCTATAGGTATGTTCTAGTTTTTCATTTTTTTTTCTTATAGTTTTCTCAATCAGGTATATTAAGAAATAGACGATGGGGAATATTAAAAAGTACCGACTAGATCCGATTTACTACCAAACCCTCAAAGTTGAAGATAGAATCATTTTAACTGTTCCTGTATTGGTCAGCCTCAAAATCAAATAAATAAAAAAACACTCATATATATAAGTCCTATCCCGTTGAAAGTGTCAATGAGGAGTGACTTTTTTCTTAAGTGATTAGCAGCCACCAGTATTTTCATCACATACACTTTTTGTAAATTTTATGTTTTATGAACTGTGCATAACTTAGATTAGCTTATGCATTATGAGAGCCCACTCTGCTGTTAAGTGTAGGTGCCGAGATAGTCGAGTGTATCTAGGTAGGTCACAGGTAGGTACCTAATGGATGTTTTCAATTTGAATTAAATGATAAATCATTGTGTATAAAAAAATAATCATATGAGCAGTCTGTATATTTCTACGATATTTTACTAAATATTTCTATTTCTATTTGTAATACATATTACTTTTGCAGGTTCAACTATTATTGGATTGGATTGCCGATCAATTATTCTAGCAAAAATATTAACATTTTAATAAATATTTGTATTTTTTTTTGTTTCATCCGATAGTTCAAAAAAAAAAATACTGATCATTTTAAATTTTGGCCTCCTAACTAGATTATTTTACTAATTTGTAACCAAAAACCTCCCTGAAAGTTGATAATAGAATGATTATTTTTACTATAAAGTGTCTTCAGACAATAATAAAAATCAAAAACACATTTTAAAATCAATACATTCTCTTTGCCATACTCAGAATTTAAAATTAAAAACTAAACTTTGATGTCTAAAAAAATTGTGACTGTATTTTCAATGCTCTTTAATTGATATTATCTTATGAGGAACCTTGTATTAAACAATTTCAAGAATTTTTATTCATCTAGTAAAAATCGAAAATAAACTAAAAAAGTAGGTAACCTCTCTAATATACAGTTGGTGTTGACCGTCGAGTGTAACTCGTCATTGAGTAGGTCACTCTAATAGTGTAATGGATGTGTTAAATTTGAGTTCAATGATAAATCATTGTAAACGATGACATACGATTCTGAGCGGAGACCACCTAACTTTTTAGTAACTATAGTTACAAAAGAATTATTTTATTTTAACTCCTTCCCTCCACCCTCAAAATTATAAACTTAATCTAATTTTCTATCAGAAACCTAGTTCCAAGTTGATGATTGTAGAATTTTTTCTATTAGCTTCTGAGTTCTGACACAAAAATAAAAATAATAAAATAAACACACATCATCATAAAACCAATAGGTTTGCCTAAACTTATACGCTCCGCTAAGAATTAACACTAAGAATTTAAAAGTAAAAATTCCATATAATATCTATAAGTAACACAAATAAAACCAATATATTTTGAAAGTTATACGAGTATAGTAAATAGGTACTATAGGTCCATGAATATTTGATAACATTTTGGTAGCGGTGTCGTATGCTATCTACGCACTGAATACTAGTGTCGTATGCTATCTACAGATACCTTATCGGGTAGGGGTGTCGTATGCTATCTACAAATATTTATCTACACTCTATAAAGTACAAAGTTAAATCCCACGGGTTTTTAACGATTAGTTGTGTCTGTGAATTATTCGCGTGTGTTTGTCATTTGTATTGCGTTCAAAATGTCTTCAATTGGTGATTTATATAGACATATTATTTATACCGATGATACTTGTGTGAATTTTTTAAAACAAAAAGGTGTCTTACCTAAACAAGAATTTTGTGAAAAAATGAATAATGTTAGCAATAAAGTGTGTGGTGGCGTTCTCAAGGAATGTTATAAAAATAGCCGCAAACGAGATTCCGATGGGCAATTTGTGAAAACAAAATACTTACGTTGCCAAACACGTGGTTGTCAAACCTATCAGTCCATTCGTAAAAAAAATCCGTTTTTTACCTATGTCGATATTAATGGAAAATGTAATAGCGGATTAAGTTTATGCCAGATAGTAGAGCTCGTATGGTATTGGGCACATGGTATGCAAGTAATTCAAACTATGAAATTTACAGGCAGAAGTCAACACACTGTGTCGGATTGGTACAATCTTTGCCGTGATATTTGTGTTGACCAATTTGAAAAACGTACGAAAATGGGTGGTGTAGGATTCGTAGTGCAAATAGACGAATCTTTATTTCAAGGCAAGCGGAAGTATAACCGTGGTCGCCTACGTCTAGGAGATCGTCGACCTAGAGAAGAAATTGTAGAATCAGGATCTAGCAGTTCTGATACTGATACTGAAATAACTAATCGGAATTACGGTGTACGCGTACAGGGGCCGTGGGTGTTTGGAATGTGTTGTAGACGTGATAATATAGTAGAACGTCGATTGTTTATCGTTCAAAAAAGAGACCGCGCCACTTTGCTTCCAATTATTAAAAGAGAAATTGAGCCAGGGACGACCATTTTTTCAGATGAATGGAAAGCTTACAGTTGTTTAAACGATCATGGCTATATCCACAATACCGTAAATCATAAAATTAATTTCCTTGATCCACAAACAGGAGCTGAAACTCAAACTATGGAATGTTATTGGCGACATATAAAGGTGAAATATGGTATAAAATCGCATGGTGCCACTAATTTGCTGGAAAGGCAGCTTAAAGAAGAATGGTGGCGCTCCATAAACACAACAAATACGTTCGAAACATTTTTTATTGATATGAAAAATACTTTTCAACTTTAATTAAGAACATTCATTGACAATCTTCATTTATTTATGAAGTGCTCCGGTTTAAAACGAAGTAGATAGCATACGACATAATTTATACGTAAATAGCAATGTGTAGATAACATTCAGTGCGTAGATAGCATACGACACCGCTACCAACATTTTCAAGTCTCTACAACTATTCATTATATAATTATTACAAAATTATAAACAAATTGATTTGTTGATTACCGGTTTAGGGTAAAAACTATCGTTTTTCCCTAATGTCTTTACGATGATTATTTTGAAGGTATCAATTATGTGTGTATTGGCAAGTTGTACATGTGTACAAAAACACATTATTGTATCATGATCAGTAGGTAAAAACGAAGCAAATCAAATTGAAATTGTATATTTATCTATGATAAATTGTAGACACGTTTTTATATTATTTTTTAATGAAACTAATTGTGCCGGAAAAAGCTAGCTGCAGCATTGATATTTATTTGTGCGTAACGTTGACAATCCGGTAAACTAAATTATAATATATACATAACATCCAATAGGTATAGAATACTTTTAGAACATTATCAGTAGGTATACTCTGTTATGGTCTATATTGGTGTGGCAGTATAGTGGCTGTAACAAGTGTCGACCTTGCGTGTGTATTATCGTTTTAGGTTTCCAAGCAAACGTTTAGAACTCAACACCTAGAGGGTATCGTTGTGTCGTCCGTTAGTTATCAGTAGGTACATGATATATAGTTATGGTTGTTGACATTCATTTTTCCATTTTAATATTACTATAGTATTCATAATTCGAAACGAAAAACTACAAATACACTTAACTAGAGTATTATGAATATATAAATATTTTTAGTGCCTATACTATAGTGGAATATCACAATAGTTAAATTGTTCTATTCAAAGTAAATAGGTATAGTATCCAAAAGTAGCCAGTTGGTACAAAAATATAAAAGTTGTTAAATTGTCTAGGTATGGAATTATAGTTTATTGCATTGTATAACATTAAAATACACTTAAAAACCGGGAATTTAGCGACGAGTGAGCTTTCCTTGTTTTTTTTGTGTATCTAAAACTAGCTTAGTCATGCACAGAGAATATAACATAACTAAATTACATATCGAAAACATAATTATTTAATAAATATAATCTTACTTATAATTTGCATATTCTAATTTTAAATGAGGTAAATGAATAGCTATCAAATAATAAAGTTAATTTAGCTGTTATAGGTACATTAAAAATATACCAGTTCATAAAATGTATAAAGAATAGTACATATTGATGGGAGAGTGGTAACTGTAGATCATTATGATATAGATACAGTAATTGAATTTTGACGAAGGTTGACAATGTAAGGATTTCTTAATTTTAAAAAAATATTAAAACATATCCCTTCTAATAGTTATATTCTAATCAATAAGACATTAATATCTTCAGATTAGGTAAGTACCTATACATATGCATTTTTTTTGCATTTTTTCATCTCTTTTTAATTTTGTTCTAATTTAAGTGTTGTATATAAGCAATAAGCATATACCTCAATATGGTAAAAACTAAAAAATAAAGTAAAATCTCTTGACATAAGTACCTAGTTGTATCATTGTATATTATAGTATGATACTATGATGCAACATTTAAAATACATATAGGTGCCTAAGTATAAGTATATTATTTCTTTTTTTAAATATTTTAACGAATACCTAATATTATCTTTAAGATAAATTATAGATAGATAATAATAGTAGCAAGTAGTTATAGGTAGGTACCTACTGTAAATTTAAAAGCAGTAAAAATATGATCATAATAATTATTGTTATTAATGATATGATTGTTTATTTTTTCACGATATTTTATTTAATAATTTGTTATAATATACGATTTGATTAATTCGTCCCTGAATTCGAAATAATAATTGTTGATAGTATATCACTAAATAAATGAAAGGCTTAGAAAGGTAAAGTATATGACCTTGCCATTTTAAATCATTTATAGTCTATGTCTACTCTATATATTATACATAGTGCTACTTATATATTTGTATAATACCTAGTGTCATGTGGTCCTATAGTACCTACCTCCATATAGTCATATACCTCCGCATAGTTAGGTGTACATTTATACATATTATACACTAGGTATACGATATCTACCTAACCGTAGATATTACCTAGGTACTCTAATATCATATCGTAATATTAATACTTTCATACAATTATGTCTCAAATTTGAATACATGCCAATTAAACTACATGATACCTATTTATAGAATATGAAGTATAGACATACTGACTTGTATCATGCATGTTTGTATCGTATAATATGTATATTAAAGGGTAAGTATATTGTGTATAAAAAAAGGTACCCATAATTATATGACTGTACTTAGATACATATTATACTATAGTATACTACACACTTAAGAGAATAATTTAAAACAAGAAAATAAGCAACCTTTTTATTGTTTTAATTTAGCTAAATTTGAGGAGTAGTGGACCTCCGTGAAATTCTGTGCCACAAATAAGGCTGTTCAAAGAATTATATACTTGTTTAGGTATAATAAGTTAAGTTTCGTTTTCAAAGCTTTCAGTCTTGTGTATGAATAAATAAAAAACACCGTCCTTATTTAAACTTAAAAAATACAAAATAAATGCTTCTACTAAATATTAGTATATAAAATATATATTAACTTTGATGCCTAAATACTCAGTCAAAAGACCATAGCAGCCTGCAATCCTAAATTGGGCCTGCTGCAGTTCTCCATAACATTTTAAATTTGTAATAGATATTATCAAACAAATATTCTCTGGAGTGTAATTAGTATCCACTAAAAAAAAAATACCCTGTTCTCTTCAATGACTACACTGTACAGTTAAAGTCAAACTTATAGTGAGTAAAGCTAAAGTTATAAATATTTTTGGAGATTTTAACGAATTTATAATTATTGACATTTTATACTTTTGTAAAACACAACAATTAAAAATGGTTTTTTTGTGTTTTCACTAATATTTATGATTTATTATGTATATTATCTAACCTAAATTTTTTTTAAGACAAACAATTTAGGTAGGTTACTTATACTTAAATATTTTTTATTGAGTTGTCATTATTCATATTGTTTCGATCACATAGGTATAAAAAGTCATTTTACTCATTAAACATATGCAATTATATGTACCTATTAAACTATATGATATCATTTAAGTATAGGTACTTATCTTAAGTACTATACCCATTCATAACATAGTTTTGTTAAATATTTGTTTAGTTGTAACTTTCATAATATTAAATTGGTTGATTATAATAGAATCGTATATTATATCAAATATTTATTGGGTACGTTATTTTAGCAATGCCAGTTTTCATAGTGAACATTTTACTTAACGAATGTTGTATAATATAATATATATTATAAGGTTGATGCGAGGATAGGTATCATATATAATAAAATAATGGTAAATAATACGTTATGCTTATGTGTACTTAATTTTTTGTGTAGACGATATTGAGATTTATTTATAAAAGTGCCTAAAGGTGCATAGCCATTATTATTCTCTGACAGAGAAAGTTGTTGAACATGTACTGTCTATGTTGAACAGGTACTTGAATGCATACGCTCAAGGTTTTAATCACGAAATTTTCATCGGATTTTATAAGATGCAGTGTTTATTATAATAATTGTTATTAAATCCAAAGCAAATATTTAATAAGGCTTACAACAAAGTTTTATGTAAACACTATATTATGTATACTAATTAATTAAAGGGAAATTGTATACATAATTTTATCAATAACCGCGTTTTTGAACTACTCCTAAAAATATTTTTTAAATGTTCATAAATAATGAAGATATATTAGTGATACGAGTATACGACTAATATACTGCCTATTGTAATGATTATAGATGGTTTAAGATTCTAATTAGAGGGATGATGTTGGTATATTATTGACAAAGGGATTCTTTTAAGGGTAAACAATCATTTTCTCGGAGTTATTGGAAATAGATTTTTTTTAAAACAATTTTGAATTAATACGAAAAATACAACTTATTGAAAAAATTGTATTTACAGGTTAATTATTTTGTTAGTTTTTACTTGTAAAGTAAATTAATTAATTAGTTATAACTTATAAGTATTTAAAGTCTTGATGGGCCAAATAGTGTTGAGTGATATCCTTGTACCCCTCCAAATGTTGGTCCATGGCTCCACTTATCTAAACTTATACTATAAAAAAAAATATATATAAACTATAACTATAGGTAATTGTAACAACTATAGTTCGAAATTAAATTCTTTTAATATTAAAATTCTTAGTAAAATATTCTGCTCCAGAATATAAAATTAAAATGAATGTTGTCATTCAAAAAAGTTTTATTAAAATGGTAAAAATAAAATTTTTTTTTCAAAAATGTTTTTTTTTTTAATGACTCCGAATTATGTGAAAATGTATTTCCAAAAACATGCATACTTTAAAAGAAAACGAATGATTATCTTTTAAAGAATCTAAATATTAAATTTAAAATCTTGATAATTATATGTTCATTGTCTATTGTAATTTATAACTAGGCTTTTTTTTCTTTTTTCTTTTAGATAATACACAATTCGTCAGTACTGTACATAAGCACAATACTCGTGACATAAGCACGCTATGACATATACATAGCCAAAGCATGAGCTGTCTGACTGAGACTCGAGTATAAGATATCACTATTATAGTTATTAATTATTATATTTATAGATTATACTTTGGCAACTTAATATTCAGTTTAATTTTTTTTAAATGTAAATAGTCATGACACCTGCGGTTCCTTATTATTCGATACGGGGAACCGTTGATCGCTAGCTATGGAATGCGAGTTTAGATTTTGATGAGTGGGTTATGGTGTGGTTCTTAAGTGTGTAGTGAAAACATTCATAAACCAGTGCCGTTCTTTCTGCCACGGTTTCTATTGAATCTCTATAGTCAACAGGTAAGACGAAATTAAAACATAAAGGGTGGGGCATTTGTATTTTTTCTAGGCGCCATATTAGTTTACAATAATGTTGAATTTCAAAGCAATTGGAATCTAAAAGCAAACATTTGAATTTGTAAACTTGTATGGTAATATGATAGTTTTATTATCTTAGAAATTTAAAAATGATTGTTTTATGAGTTACT